TAAGCCACTTTCGTGGGTAAAACTCCCTCTAGCGCGTAAACGGTGAGAGATAGAGCCAAACGGACAAAATTTTAGCCCAAAGGGCTCTACTTTCACGAGTTACCCCTCAGGAGACCATTAAAAAAATATTTTTTTTCCACTTCTTGGACCAACCCATATTTCTTTGTTACCCCCTCAGACCCACTCAGGGGTGGTTGCCAGGATTTGCACCAACCGTTTCGTTGACCAGAAGTGACAACAAGTATACCCTGAAAATTTCAAACCTCTAACTCGCGTCCTTCTTGGGAAACGGACAGACAGACAGACGAACACAGAGGCGATGGCATAAGCCCGCTTGCTTTTAAGCAAAAGAGCGGGCTAAAAAAGGGCCGGGCGGCGCCGCCCGCCTGCTGTTCGTATCGGAGCGCGCGCGCCGGCCAATAGTCGGACTGGTGGTAGGGTGGGGGAACCATGAGCGGCGGGGAAGAAGGATGCCGCTGGGCCGGGCGGGGAAGGGCCGGGCCAGACCGCAGCGCCAAATTCAAATCAAACTTACGGTACACACTGTTAGAAATTTCCACGGAATTTTGAACGGAATTGTCAAGAATTTTTTTTCACGGAATGTACCGTAATTTTTCCGTATTTTCTACGGAAACCATACGGTAAAACCGTATTCTTAAGTTACGGCTAAACCGTAAGCTTTTCCGTAAAATTTTGACTTATTGATTAGGAAAAATAATAAATTGCACTGTAAGTCCAAGAATTGGATTTTGAGAGATACGAGAGCGTAAAGTTATGGTTTTGCGAAAGAGGCAATAACATAAATCTCTGTGGACAGCTCAATTGTTTAAACTATTTGTTACAAAAATTATTTAATATTTAATTTGACGGGGAAAATGTACGGGATGCACCGTTATTTGAAATACGGACAAGTCCGTATCTTTAAATTACAGTAATCCCGTTACGGTTTGGTACCGTATTTGGAATTTACGGTGAGTTCCGCAAGAATTCCGTAATTAGCCTACGGAATTTCTAACAGTGCAGTGAGAGGAGAGCGAGGGCGTGGCGTGGGGGCGGACACTGCAGACGACACTAGCAGACGATGCACCGGCCACCGGTCCGGCCAGGCCTGCTGCGGCCATGAGAGAAGGGCGCCCTGGAGAAGAAGCTTGAGAGCCCCTGGACCCCGCTTTTGCAACTGGGAAACCAGTAGGCGGGCACACTTTTTATTTTTCGAGGGCGGCGTTGCGATTTTCGGATTCCTGATAAAATTTCCTAAAGAAAGACGTTTTCCCCGACTCTTTGCGTTGAAAAATAAGGTAGCGCCAGCCTCTCAAACCGCGCCGTAGAGCCCGCAGGGAAGTCGCGGCCCGCCTGGCTGCCAGCGCGTCTGGGCGGCAGCGGCCGGGCGGCTGCCTGCCGGCTGGCCGCGGCGCTGCGCTCATGCGCAGTGCGCCTCGGCCAGCCCCCTTCCACCTGCGCTCCGCGCGGTCCCGCGTTTTCGTGTTGACATTCGGATCGGAGCGAAGAGGGGCGTGTGGGTGCTCACACGGGCGACTAGGCCGTTTATTTTAACTAATTTGTAGGAATTGTGAACAAGGTAAATATTTTGTGGTTTTGTATTTCTTTTACAACGCATTATCTTGAGCTAAATCTGCTCACCGACAAGTATTGGTTGTTGATAAATGTGTTTATTTTTAATAGAATGGACTCGTCTTTGCTCGACGAAAACGGGAATTCATTACCGTCGTTCACATCCACACCAAAGGCAAAAAGGAAGCGGCCTATATACGAGTGCCCATACTGTGGGAAAGAATATTTAGTTCAATTTTACTTTAAAAATCATGTCGAGTCTCACTTGTCCCAAGGTAATACGCTCATTCTGGAGGTTATGTGTTGCTGAAGCTTTCTTTATATAGTCAACTAAACTTGTATTTTTGTAAACTCTTTCCAGCTCAACTTGATGTCAGTCAGGATGTTCACTTGGATGTCAGTGATTTATCCATTATTGAAGACACCCCTGCTTTCAAAAAGCCAGCACCACCTGCCTCACAAAAGAAGACTACAACAAAAACTGTTGCAAAGAAAACAGACAGCAAGAGGCCAAAATTAATATGCACTTATTGTTTGAAAGAATATATATGTACTAGGTCTTTCAAATCTCACCTAAGAACTCATACTATTCAAGGTACGCATTGCATTTACAGCGCTTTGGATTTTTCGCTCTAAGTACAATATGTAACAGTTTTCTTTACTTCCAGTTGCTGCTATGAAATACCCAGACACAGAGAAAATTCTTGATAACGTAGTTGAAATTTCCAATGCTGCTCTGACATCTGTTTCCAATTGTCCTAGTTACGGGAAATGTGGTGAACAATTTAGGGCATTTCTTGGTCATGTAATTTCAGAACCAGAAAAGTTTGAAAAGTTTAGTGCAGACATTGCAAGAGAAGAGTTAACTGCTATTTCTAAAAAGAAATGTCTTCTCCCACATGCCCTTGTGAATGCACTTTTTCAGAAAATGGAGGAAATTTTATCTGATGATAATTTTTGTGAAGCTGTTCTGTCTGTCTTTGAGGGCCCATTGTTTTCAAGTAATGTACAGTCCCAATTCCTTCTAGAATTTTTGTTGAATTTCACCACAGAAATTTTTAAATTTATATCTAGACATTTTAGGAGTGGTGTGACTATTCATCATTTATCAAAGCAAATTCCTGAATTAGATGCTGAAGACAGGCATGTGATATTTCATGTTGGTGGGTCCATTATGCAAGGGTACCTAAGAATCGGTAAAAGAAATAAAGGAAACACAAAGTGGCAAACTGTTACTAAGACTTTACGGGACAGGCTACTCTCAACTGAATCTGAAGTGGGTGCAGATGCAGCGTGGACCAAGGATTTGGACAATGGTGGTTTGCTGTATATTTGTAAGCCTTTGCAGGATTTTTTTATAAAATTGACGGCAATTGTCTATGCTAGTGAGAAGAGTGATGGTTCCATTCCATACGAACAAGTACTCAGCAAGGTAGTTAATTCTGATGTTTCAGTTCTCTGGGATAATGTTATCAAAGATTCTTAATCTGAGGAACTTTCTGTAGGCTTATTGAATGATGTCGTCCTGTGTTTCTGTAAAGCTTGTGGTCGTGGTGTAGCCAAGAGGAAACTAAATGAGTTGCGGGAGAGGCCTGTCATTGGCATGGCAACTCGACATGCAGTTGCTTCTCGGAAGAAGTAGTAACATGTTAGTGATTTTGGGTGGGATTGTGATTCTAAAGTATTTTATTTTGTGATTCTTGTCTTTATAGGTACAAGTTAGAACTATATTTTATTTTTGACTGTGATTTGTTTTAGTCAATCCAATTGTAATAGTATGTTAGGAAATACTACCTGACTATAAGTTTGTTTAACTTTTAAGTGTTTGTGTCAAAGAACTCTTAGGTTTTTTAAATAGATGGACATAAAAATGTTAACTTTTTACACAATTTTATTGATGTATTGTTTGACATGGCTAGAAATTTATAAATGTGTTCAGTCTTAATGGTACAGGCAAATTTCTTAATTCTACTTTCTTTCAAAGTGTTATTTTTCTAGAAAATATGTTTATCTGAATAAAAAGCTATTTAACATTCAAATACATTAGTAATACTATTTTAATATCACAAGTCATATTCACATTTCAACAAATCACTTTTAATTATTCTACAGCAAACTTTGGAATTCTAGCACTCTGCAGCTTAGGCAATTTTTCTGTTGTAACTTCAATAGCATTATCCATGTGCTGCCCAGAGTTTCCTTTTCTTTTCTTTATTCCCATTTCTCCAATAGTGTCCAAATCACGGTTTCTCTTCAAAGTCTGCCTTAAATTGGGATGTGAGCTTCCCCCCTGCCCAGCACGTAGCTTGCTGAAGTGCTGCTCGAGGGGATCCTGGGTGAATACTCTGGCATTAATAAAGGTTGCCCCCTCTTCAAGCATAAATGTGACCAGAGGTTGAAAGGCCAATGTTGACATCCTTATTCCCTCTAAAGTTTGCTTGCTGAGCAGCTTGCGGTCTATAGGGGTCAGGTTTTCACCGTCATCAAGCTCTTCAATGGCACTTCCATCCAAATCCTCTACAACTCCTGTGGAATTTAAATCAATTGTTGAGTTTGGATTGGATTTTGCATCATTCTCCCATTCGTCAAGATACTTTAGAAATCCATTTAACAAATCAAAACGTGAATCAGTGGCTGATGTGTAAGCTGCCAGATTTTTATTTCTTGTCTTGACAGCGATTGAAGTGTGAGCTCCATTTAAGCAGTCGAACCAATCATTAACCAGTAGTATGAAGTTTGCAGTCTCTTTCACTTCTGGCCAACCTTGGCTGCGAAGATCCAATGCTACAGTCTTGCTCATTACTTGGCCAGCATACTTCACTTTCATACGGGCGTAACTATCTGGGTACACATTCATTGGACTCAATTTGTAAGACTTCCGTAGGGTCTTGCCTCTCTTGGCCTCATACAGTTTGATGATGTGTTCCCAAGAGATACGACTTCCATTTTTAAACATCTTCCGCCTGCTCTTCTTATTATCCCATCTAGAATTTAGGAAACAATTTCTAGTGGTTTTTAGGAGGTGGGGAACATCAGATAAGAAAAATAATTTTCTGTCTTTAGCACACTTATTCCAAGTGTCAAATATGACACCACTTGGATGTATGGTTGCAGGTGTGTGAGATTTGATAAAAGCACGATTAACACTGGACCCATCACAAACCATGGCTATCACTGCAATGCCAGATCTCTCTAATGCACCTATAACTTGCCAAGTCCATACTTTCATCTGAAGTGCTGACATAGTGTTCACAGCAAATGTTGCAATGACTTTTTTAATGCCATTAGTCACACCTTTAACCATATATACCATTATTCTTGATGCTATTGTTTCTCTACACTCCTCTTCTGGCTTATCCAGGGCCTGCTCAAAACTCTTCACCTCCTTATCAATTTCATCAAGAGATGTAAAACCAACCATTTGTCAGGTTGATTTTTGAAATACAAGGTTTTGAGAGATATACATTTCATCACCCATTAGAACATGATATTTCTTATGCACTTCCTTCTTTTGAGTTTTGGCATTTATTTTTTCTGACATTTCCTCAACAGTTTCAGCCAATTTCTCTAAAACAGCCTTGTCAATGCCTTCCTCAGCAGGTCTTGCATGAGAATAATCAAATAAGGTTCGACTGGAGGGGAGTTTCACCATACCTGTGTTACGTAACATCTCATAGGCTGCTGGTGAGGTGATGTTGAGTGACAGGGCCAAACGTATCATTGTTGGGTGCCATCTCATTCCTGAGGCTGACTTCACCTGAGATGCCTTCACCTGCTGTTGTAGAAAAACACTCTGAGCAGGACTTAAATCACTTTCATTCAAAAGATTTGTAAGAGAATCAGCCAGCTGATAGTCAAGCTGCAAGCTTTCCTTTTTAATGACTTCTTGCATTCTTACACGAACACGGGACAGTTTAGCTTTCAAATTATCTATTTCCTTGCGTTGGTCTTTCAACTTCTTTAATTTTTGGTCTTCAGTCAAAGCAATGTTGGGAGTGTTTTTGTGTCGACTCTCTTGAGCTGCTGCATGTGCCCTTCTTTTTAATGGTTTAAGCATTTTGGTGCATTCAGGACACCGCCACTTATTGGATTTAACTAACAACTTACAAGATAAAGACCGAAATGTTTCAACATATCTACATTCCTCATAAGGATTTTTATCTATTTCACCATACTCACAGGAATGCCACACATCTTGATAAACTTCATCATCATATCCACTGCACACTTCCATTGATCTTAAGTTATTAACAATACACACTATCCTGTCTACACATTCATTTAAATTAAACCAGTTGATAGGTAGTGGCACAGTTGAATTGCTCTTTGGTAGGTAAGGTGTTACATCAAAAGGTTTACAGTGCACAAAGAGTCTAACTTCACCATCTTTATCAAACTCTAATGATCGCTGTATTGCCTTTTGTCTCTGCTGGTTTGATAAATACATCACATGTAGGTGGTCTCTGTCAACTACTGATATCCATCTTCGAGGTAGAAAGGCATCCACTTTTTGTTTTGCTTTAAGAAGTATATCAGTATCTGAAGCATAACCTGCAGCCAGCTGTAAATAAGAGAGGTATTAAAGATGGTTCTATGCATTTTTAAATATTTTAAAGTTTTATACAATATGCAATAAATATTTAATTGACTTTGATAGGTGTAATATTTATAGTACGAACCTCATCATCATTGGGATAAGGAAAATATAATGGAGACATGTCAGGGTTGTACGCAGTTTCAGTATGCTGTAAGAATACAAATACAAAACCAAATTAGAGTATATTTATATGAGTGGTGAAATGTCAATAGTATAGTACAAACCTTTTTAACATCACAAGTAGAAGGTGAAGACAATGGCTGTGATTGTAAAATGTCAGGAACACCATTCTGATAATCAACCTCTTGCTCTTGAGTGCAAAGTAAATGCGATGGAGACAACTCAGAAGTATTTGTCCTTTCAGTATGCTGTGATAATAGAATTACATGAGTATTACTAGAGAGTAATAATTCCTATTGTATAATGTCAATAGCATTCTGGGTACAAACTTTTTGAATATCAGTTGGAGCGAGATTCAATTGTGATTTGCCACACATGGAAAAAACTTCAGTCTTGTGGAACGGTGAAACTTCATCAACAACATTCTGATCATGAACCTCTAGCGCTTCAGAAATGTTGGCAGTTTTATCATACTGTAAGAATAGAAACACAAATGCATTAATAGATTATTTTAGTTTTTTTTGGAAGATGGGAGTTGTAACAAGTATTTTGAGTACAAACCTCTTCTGCACTAGGGCAAAAAGAATTAAATGGAGACATTTCACAAGTGGTGCCTGATGCAGTTACCTGCAAAAAAAAAAATCATAAATATTAACAAAAAGTTTAAAAGGATTTTTTGCCATACAGCACAATGGAATACAGACCTCCGAATGATTTGTGAGGTCAGGTGAAAATGGCAAGCAGACTCGAGGAGACAAGTCCACTGATTCAGTCTCACACCCATTATTGCCTGGAAAATGTTCACTCCCAGGGTCCTGCGCAACACGAAGAAAGAAAAAATATACTTTCAGAATAACGCAAGATTATTATTTCTTTTAAAGAATTGTTTTGATTCTTCAACCCCAACCTCTAATCTCACCTGTTCTTCAATAGAATTTTCATTTGGAACATCACTACTCTCTTTCGCCTGCTTCGCATTAACAGGTGGCCTCCGGCCTTGCTTCTTTTTTGTGTCGCGACGTCTTCTCGACTTTTTTGGCATAGTTCAAATTTACTCGTTACACCAAATTACGTACTAAAGTAAATGCATACCGAAAACAATAACCTCTCCAAACGCACGAGTCGGGTCGCGCTTCGGTTGTCGGGTCGGCGTCGGCTGCTGTCGCTCGGGAGCGGGAGCTGGGGAGAGGGGGGCGGGCCGAGGCCTACTGCGCATGAGCACAGCGCCGCGGCCAGCCGGCAGGCAGCCGCCCGGCCGCTGCCGCCCAGACGCGCTGGCAGCCAGGCGGGCCGCGACTTCCCTGCGGGCTCTACGGCGCGGTTTGAGAGGCTGGCGCTACCTTATTTTTCAACGCAAAGAGTCGGGGAAAACGTCTTTCTTTAGGAAATTTTATCAGGAATCCGAAAATCGCAACGCCGCCCTCGAAAAATAAAAAGTGTGCCCGCCTACTGGTTT